TAAAAGAGAAGAAAAATACCCAAACATTTTCATTCCCCTTTCCATACTCTTCTCTTGCCAAGTTTGGAATTGCTTAAGGGATAAACCTTCTTTTTTCCTTTTTTTTTCTTTTTGCCTAGAGCTGGCTGCTAAAGGCACAGTTTTGGATTCAAGCATTTTCCTGTTGGCCTCTCCTGGGACCTATACTATCAAACTTGAATCTATCTAATGTCCAAGAAAATATTGCTTAACAGAGAAATAGGCTTCTGGTTGAACAATATGCTCTCCATTTAAAGAATTCTCTCTCTTGAGTAGGCACATAGGTTTGGGTTTCTAGTCTTGTGGTCACCTTAGCATTTACTGACCTTTACCAATGACTCATAAATTAAACATGTCAGGTGTGAGCATGGTGATTTGTCATTGAGCAAGGTGGACCATCATACTTTAAGCAGAATAATGACCCCAAACCAGAAAATGTATTCCAAGGTATTGAGATTTTCATTAGAGAGAACAGTACTTATGGTAAGAACCCTACAAGTACAGTTCATTGGGATCAGCCACATCTTCATGCTTCCATTGTATGCCAGAAGCCTATAGCCATTGATGTGAACAATGCATGGTTCCCTAATCCCTCCACTCCAGGATGCTATCACAAGAGAAGACAACATGTTGCCCTGAATACTATTTTCCCCAGTGACTAGCTTGTGGCCAATTGACTTCTAGTTTCATACTATTCCCAGGTCTGTTGTAGATATTGAAATGATAATATTTTGGATGGAGTCAACCCATTTTCCTTCTGAGAAAAAGAAGGAGAAGAGGAAGAGGAGGAGGAGGAGGAGGAGGAGGAGGAGGAGGAGGAGAAGAAGAAGAAGAAGAAGAAGAAGAAGAAGAAGAAGAAATAATGTAAGTTCTTTATATTAAGAATAATCAGCTACTCTGGAAAAGTATCAGAAGGTAAAGTATCCTGTTGAATTTAATGGAGACTTTGAGTTAAAAGGTGAGTTGGAAAAACCTGAATAGAAAAATATAGTTCAGTGCTAGGAGAACATTGTCTTTGTGTTCTCAGCAGATTCCAGGAAACTGGATGCATATAAAATGCCCCAATTTTAAGGGAATTATTTTTAAATTAAAAGAAAACAAAACGTGCATATTCAGAAACACAGCAATGAAATAAACATACACTTAGTTGTATGTATTTGCAGGTAAAATGTGGAGACATTGGGGTCAATTTTAGTGAGCCCCTTTGGAGCCAGCCTGATGTAAGAAGTCCATGTGCCAACATTCACAGGCTACACAAAGGAAAGATCTATTAGGCAGCCAGAAATCCAAACAGCTAGCAGGTTTGGCATGACTGTGTTTACCGCAGGAGAAACTCCCCCTAACTTCATTAATGCCTGATAGCTTGCAAATGTCTTTCTGCTATTAATATAATGATCCCTGTTTGGAAGAGATACTGGCAACACAAATTTTTTTTGAAGAATGAACTGTCAATAATCAAATATACTCATCACCAAGTAATGACAAAAGCAAACATCTGGTCACAACTCCCCCCCCCCCAGTTTTTTTGTCTGGCAGACTTCTTTCCATAGACATTTAAAGACAGAGTCTTATCCCTTTAGTAGAATTCTCCTTTAATGATTTTATCTCATCAAGTAACAGTTACAGTTGTTGAATCTTGAAAGATTCTTTCTAGTCCCTTGGATAGTGGCGGTTCAATTACGTCCTGATCTTAGGGTCAGTTGTATAGGGTGCCACTTCCATCTTCTTGGCACTTGAAGGCAAGGAAGACACTCAAAGATCCCAGCTTAAGTGCTGAGGATAGGATTCTAATACCCATCAGTGTCAAACCAGGGGGTTCGTTTCTTAAGTTCCTCTCTATCAATGGACTTGCATTGAGAAAGTGAACTTCAAGTTTCAGTTAACAGAGCAACTGGCTGACTTGGTTTTTTATGCCAAAGAAGCATTCCCTCCCTGTTCTTGTCAAAAGAATCTTAGTTTTAGTTAATCTAATTAGCATCCTACTTCCATTAGCATTAGATGTGGTTTGGATATGACTGGTGCATTAATACCAGCATCCCTTCAACACAGATGAAGGAAAAGCTTATCATACTCCATTGGGTGTCTGCCCACATCCCTTCAGAGCCCCTCTCTGTTTCCATGTATATTGTCTTCCTAATAGCCAAAAATGTATGATTGTTGGAAAATTCTCTTCATGTTGATAAAATTATTTTAACCCATGAACAAGTAGGTAGCAAGTACTTTGAGAGGAAGTTTTCCTGAAAACAAAAACACTTATCAAATTGCTGGTAGCTATGACAGTACAGATACCCCACATCTCTCACCTTTGACAGGGATAATTATTAAATATTTGTTTGGCAGAGACCTTTCCTTTGAGGTGACTCTCCAATCACCCAGGGGAGTCTACCAACATGGCATCCAACTGCCTACCAAGGTTCCAACAAGCTGTTTTCACTGAATCAGTAAAGAGAACTACGGACTGGTATATTAGAACAGACCCTCTGTATGACCAAAATAGGACCGGTGAGATACCTAAGCCTGTTGCCCAAACCATGAAATGGGAACTATTTCCTTTCTTTGGGACTGTTGAACACATAAAATATAAGCTTCTACTCTTCCTCACCTTGTGAAGTTCACCAGGAAAGCCCATCTGGCACAACACAGCTAGTACTCTAGAACATTATTTTGAGAGTTAGGAAAAAATATTTTCTGGAAGTATTCAACCAAGCCTGAAACTCTGATCTCTCTAAATTCTTTATACAACTCATGTGTCTTCTCACCACTATGCTATGGAAGGCAAAAGAGTTAATTTACCCAAGATAGGAATGGTCCTCACTATAATTCTGTTCTGAATGAAAAAGTTCAATCTGGGTTTGCTCTCATTCAAGTACTTGCTGGCTGGCCAGAAAGGGGAGGGGGGGTGTGGGTACCAAAGTCTCCGGATTTGCCATATATGTGGAAGTCAGAGGGTGGCTCTGTGTGAAAGGCATATATGCAGACTTCTGAATCCTGAGAAAATTTTCTTTTGAGTTCACACTTCAGATTTGGTTGAAATATAAGAAAAAAGTCTAAAATATTTTATGACCATTTTCAGATGGAACATTTGGAAAATATTTACAAATAACCTTTGAGACAAAGTATCCTGTAGAGAAGGAATTTATCCACATGAGGTAAATTATTATCACAATTTTGCTATGTAAATTGAAGGCTACATTTTCTGTTTTAATTAAGCAATATCAAAGAATAGTTTTGTGGTATTTTCTTCCCAGGATTGGGAGCCTACACACATCAGTTAGTGCATGAGAACCAGGAATTAGAACTGACCACAGCTAATGGGAACCTGCTCAGGCCCATTTTATGGGCTCTACAGAGGAACGTGCAAAGAGAAAACAGGCTAAGTGAACAGGGAAAGACACAATTCTTCCTTTTCAATAAGTCTTAATAACAAATAATCCCCAGACACTAACATATGAAGGGAATTATCAATTCTAGGTCTCTTGCTTTCCTGCCATTTAGGATTTGTTAATTGCCCCAAGGGAACAGCTGGTCCTTTCTATGTTTAATTCAACTCCAATGCTGCCAATTAGAGAATGCTGTCAGACTCAGCAGTGCTCTGCAAAGATATAGCTGAGAATAACTGATGGAATACCATAAGATGCCCCAGTGACAGTAAAAATGCTAAAGCAGGTGGGCGATTAATGAGTCCTTCCTGTACTGTTGCTTATTTCAGCATGCATGATGATGAAGATACTTGGATCATGAAAAGAAGATGAATGGGATATCTGGCACATAATTTTCTTAATTATTAACTTGTGGTGGTCTCAGCAGGCATATTCTGCTTCTATAAATTAAGTTTCTTATTCTAAGTTCTACTTTCATTTTTGCTTTATTTTTTAGGTTATTATGAAATAGTTCTTTTAAGACATTTAACAGCTCCTAAATATCCAACAAATATTCACAGCAAAATTGCTCATTAACTCATGACTTGGAAGAAAATATCTGGGCTGAGGACTGCATCCATATGTGTGTGACCTCTGGAGAATTCCTTTTTCCTTGAGAATAGCTTAAGAATTTTGTTCAGGGCCCTGCTGGCCAGAACACTTGTGTGTATTTGGTTTTCAAACCATCCTTTCAAACAACTCAATTGTTTCTGTTGTGTCGGGTTTCTCTCAATGATAGCTAGGCTCTATCCTGGGATTTTCATTTCTTTCCTTTCTTTGAGATGGGATTTTTCTAAAGATGAGTTCTTTAACCAAGGTGAGGTTTCTAAAAACCAAGTGTCTGTATCACTCAGAATTGGAGACTCCAGAGAAGTATTAGGTTGAGATATCTGGTCAGTTGAAAATTTTTAATTCTTGTCTGGATTGCAATATAGACTCCTCCTACGCTTTTGGAAAAGTAGGAGATTTTTTTTTTTGCTCTGTTTGCTCTCTTGTGTCTGTTGTTTTTATTAAAGGATCAGATGTAGAAGAAACAAAGTGTCTTGCTACCCATGGACTAGAAAGAGGAGTATGTTAGTAGAGAACATGCCTAGCAACTGACTTTCAAAATGTCCCATCCTGCTGACTGACAGACATATTGATTTTGTTGTGCAAAGATGCCTTCTATATCTAGTGACAGGTGAGAAGGCTATCACAACTTGCTGCTGTGAGCCTTTGTATTTTCCTTCTAGTATAACCATTCATCAGGAAGAATGGAAAATAATCAATGGATTACCAGCAACCAAAAAGATAATTCCATGAGATCTAACACATATTGGAAAGGTGAAATCTGAACACAGGCTCAAGGGTTAGAGCAGAATCATTGGTATATACAAGTGTATACAAGGATATCTGCTCAGCTATGTTCATAGCAGCATTATTTGTACTAGCCAGAACTTGGAAGCAACCTCGATGTCCCTCAACTGAAGAATGGATAAAGAAAATGTGGTACATTTACACAATGGAGTACTACTCAGAGGAAAAAAAAACCAAAGGAATCTTGAAATTCACAGGCAAATGGATGGAACTAGAAGAAAACATCCTGAGTGAGATAACCCAGTCACAAAAAGACAAACATGGTATGTACTCAGTTATATATGGATTTTAGACCTAGAGCAAAGGTGTACTAGCCTACAATCGACACCACCAGAGAAGCTAGGAAACAAGGAGGACCCTAAGAGAGACATACATGGTCCTCCAGAGAAGAGGAAAGGTACAAGATCTCCTGAGCACATTGGGAGCATGGGGAAAGGGGAGGGGGAGTTAGGAGAAAGAGAAGGGGAGAAGAGGAGGGGAGAGGAGGATATGAGAGAGCAGGAAGATTGAGTCGGGGGAAGAATAGAGGAGAGCAAGAAAAGAGATGATACTATAATAGAGGGAGCCATTGTAGGTTTAAAGAGAAATCAGGCACTAGGGAAATGTCCAGAGATCTACAAGGATGACCCCAACTAAGAATCTTAGCAATAGTAGAGAGGCTACCTTCAATGCCCTTCCCCTATAACAAGATTGATGACTACCTTATATGCAAAAGACTAAGCCGAACTCCTGAAATCCAGTTGCAGAGAGGAAGGAGTGATGAGCAGAGGTGTCAAGACCAGGTTGGAGAAACCCACAGAAATAGGTGGCCTGATCAAGGGGGAGCTCATGGACCCCAGACTGATAGCTGGGAAACCAGCATAGGACCAACCCAGACTCCCTGATAGAGGGTGTCTGTTAGGAAACTTGGGCAATCTATGGGGCCTCTGGCAGTGGATCGGTATTTATCCCTAGTATATGAATGGACATTGGGAGCCCATTCCATATAGAAGGATAATCTCTTAGCCTAGACACACAGGGAAGGGCATAGGCCCTGCTCCAAATGATATGTCAGACTTTGAATATTCCCCCATGGAAGGCCTCACCCTTCCTGGGGAACAGAAATGGATGGGATAGGTTAGTGAGAGGCAGGGGAGGAGGGGAGGGAGAGAGAACTGGTATTGACATGTAAAATGGGTTTGTTTCTAATTTAAATTTAAAAAGGAAAAAAGAATCTGATGGTAACTAGTTCGATTAAGGGCATTATTATTATTAATTCTCATAAGAGGAGAGATGCACTTTGAAACTTACATTACTTTATGCTCTAAATTTGTCAAATATCTGCCCAAAATGCAATTTATGGGTATTTATGGGTATTTTTAATGTAGAGATAGCCACTTAGGGAGTGGGTCTTAAATTGTCTTTGGAACTTGCAAATTATACTAGCTGTATTAGGCTTTCTTCTTATTGCCCCAATTGTGAGGGTTAGTAATGAGTTGATGTGGTTTTTGTTCCAAAGGGTCATATGTTGGAACCTTGGGTGTTTAAGAAGTGTAAGAGATGGGTATATTCATGAGGAATGCCCTAGAACAGATTAATTTAATCCCAGAAGTAGTTCAGCTAATTATTAGAGAAGTAGGATGTAATAAAGCCAGGCTACTCCACATGCGTGGCTCCTTCTCTATGCAACCATCTCCCTGAGTTTCTGTTGTATTGTGATGTAGCCAAACAGGGTCCTTACCAGGATCTAAAGAGACATAACTGCCTAACCCTGGAATTTCATTCTCTAAAAATAAGTTAAAACAAAATAACTTAGAGCCTACAAGACTAAATAAATGAGCCAGATTTTGGTATTTTTTTATAGCAAGAAATGTACTAATAGCTGTTTTTATTCTTACCTGGCCATGAATAACATAATTTTCTTTGGAAACATGGCTTTAGAAATTCAAATATACATTGCTTTTTTCCCCCCTGGAATATGTTTTTGTGGCTGTTTAGTAATTCTTGGGAGCCACTAAAGGTGCAGTGTTTTTGTGACATACCTGACACATTGAGTTGAGAAATGGCTGTGTATATACAAACTCCCTTACCTGTGGAGATGCTCACCATTTGCAGCTTCCAGAACCACAGAGAATGGATTATCCCTATTTGTCTATCTATTTTGTCTGACAGGCAAGGAGAGGAGGGGAGTCTGGAGAAACTTTAGTCTTTTATTGTATGGAGCCAGAAAGGTTATATTAGTCTTAGAAATCTGGGAAAGCCATCTCAATATCAGATAGCTTTTATGATCTCTTTGTCACGAGCTTACCAGCATCTAAACCAGTTATCTGTTTGGCTCAGCTCACTGACTTGAAATTGTTAGCAAGAGACCTGGTTTGAACCAACCCAGTCAGTTATTTAGTTCCAAACTTTCACAAACTAGAAAGAATACGTCTTTCCCTAGGGAACTGGTCTTCTTCCCCAGTCAAGTCAGGAATGATCCTATCTAAGTTGCAAAGAAATTCCTAGCAATTAACCCAAGGGGGCACAAGATCTCTACAGTGGAAATGTTAAAACAGTGAAAGAAACCAAAGACAATACAAGATGGAAAGACCCCAAGAATCTGAATAATTAATGTTTTGAAAATGTATCTGGAAGGGACTTATAGATTTAGGCCACTAGTCAGCAAATATCAATGACACCATTCATGGAAATAGAAATCATGCGTTTCATATGGAAGCATAAAAGAGCTTGCATTTGCAAATCAATCTTGAGCAAAAATAATGCTGAAGCAATCACTGTCCCTGATTTCAAGTTAACCTAGAGAACTAGTAACACAAACAACATGGTATTGTCATAAAGACAGATAAATAGATATGTAGAACAGAATAAATCTCAGATATAGCCTCCTAGTTTTGGGCAAATATCTTAGAAACATACATTTGAAAAAAGACAGCTTCTCCAACAAATGACGCTAGTAAAGATGGATGTCTATGTATGGAGGAGTGAATCTAGATTTTCATATACTCTACAAAAATGAATTCAATGTGTATCATCACAGACCGCCCTGTAAAATCTGAAACTCAGCAAATGTTAGGGTAAGCATAGCAACAACACTTCAAGGTACAATCACTGGCAAGGATTTTCTGAACTATATAGGAAATACTAGCAAAAACTGATAAATGGGCTTAAATGAAATTGAAAGTTTGAGCATAGCAAAAGAAAAATCACCAGAGTGAAGAGAAAGCCCATTCAATGAAAGAAAAAAATGGCAGCTATATATCTGACACCCAGTGAATAGCTAGAATATATAAAGAATTAAAAAAGTGAACACAAAATTGCCATCTAATCAATAAATGAACAAATTAAATTAACAGCTACTTCTCAAATTATGGAAAATGTTTATCGGTGAAACATGTACATAAACTACAATGGGAGACCATGTCACCCCAGTCAGAATGCCTATCATTAAAAGGCGATAAACAAAAAATATTGGCAAGGACTTGTTTTCTTTAGAAGAAAAAAGTGATGTCAATTAAGAAAAATGGGTTTAGTAAAAAATTTTTAATAGGAAATGTTAAATGATCATGTTAATCATTAACCTATATCAAAAGTTGAAATTATCATATTTATGTTTTTTATGTAGAACCTAAGATTTACTCACTTGCACATAAATACATATATTTATATATATGTGTGTAATCATATACACATACATAAGCACACATATATCACACATAATAAGGAGTGTTATTTAGGAAGAGGAATGACATTGTTGGATTAGTGAAGAGGTAAGAGATGGTAGTGATGAGCGGATCTGGTCAAAGTACAGGATATGCTTGAACAAAATGCTATTATGAAGTTCTCTGCTTTCAGCAATGAATATATTCTAATAAAACATTCTTAAAAATAGAAGAAGGGACAGAAGAGATATTTGATGCTTTTTCAGACATGGGTTTAGTTCCTGGCACTCACATGGTAGCTCATGGTCTTCTGGAATTCCAGTTCAAGGGGTCTCTACAGGCACTGTCCACCTGTAGTGCTCATACATGCATGCAGGCAGAACATTTGTGCACATAAAATACAAATAAATAAATCTCAAAAAATAAAAATAAAGAAAGAATAATATCTTTGTTGAGGAGCCAGAAGTGGCTGTGAGGCCAAACCTTGTTGCTCATAGAATGGAAATTGAGATTTGAATTTCATTGACAGCAGGAAAATTCAGGGAGAGTTTGGAGTACAAAATGGCCACTTTTATGAGAGCTCTACATAAGATAACCACAACACAAGCTATCCAAATGAGTTATTAGCTTATACTTGTAGTTTTCCAATATGGCCAAGGTGCATTATTCTTGCTTTAGTACATGCAGAGGATAAAGGAACATCATCCCAATCATTTTCCCAAACATTTTATTTCTTTATTATCTTTATCTATTAGAATTCCCAGTTAGGAAGAAGTTCCTCCCAATAAAAGTTGTAAACAGAATTCCATAATGAAAGTTTATTACCAATTGAGACATTTACATTTATTGTTTTTCCATGAGGATTGACTATTCTAACTTGTTAGTTCTTTTCTTATTTTTAATTGAAAAGCTACTGTATTTTCTAGATTTTCCTTTTTTATTCTTCTCTCACATATTACAACCTCACCACAGTTTTCCCCTTCCTCTCCTCTCCCCAGTCTCTTCCCACTACCTCCACTCTCCCCCACATTGTTATTTCTCTATAAGGAAGGAATTGTGGTTGTCTTTAGTAGCCAGAACAGTGATGAAGGACCTAGTTATGAATAAGAAACAAATGGATGAATGTGCTATATTCTTATTTCCTTAGCAACAATTTATTGGCTGATGAAAGACAGTAGGATACAGATAAGCAACAAATAGGTCAGTATCCTAGGAGACTGAGTCCCAGCGTCCATTAACATGACCCATAAACATTTCTCTGACATTGCTCATTTTAATACAGTTAGTACAATAATGCAGAGAGGAAATGACCTCCTTATAACAGAAGACAGTGTGTGATCCAAGTTGGGTGTTATCTGGAGAAGAACTTCTTGGTTAGTTTTATATTTATTCCTTGAGAAATTTAAACTCATACATGAACCTAGGTAAAGAAAAATGGTTTAAGGATCCAGAAGCTGATATTTAGAATTCTCTTTCAAGTAAGTGTCTAGAGCAGTGATTGTCAACCTGAGGGTCTCAACCCCCTTTGAGGGAGGATCAAATGGCCCTTTCACAGGAGTCATATATAAAATATCCTGCCTGTCATGTTTCCATTACAATTCATAACTGTGACAAAATTGCACTTATAAAGTGCAATGAAAATAACTTTATGGCTGGGGACTACTATAACATGAGGAACTGTATTAACGGGTCCTAGCATCAAGAAGGTTGAAGGAAATCAACAATAGTTTAATTGTCTAGAGAGAAATCATAATAGTTTGAGGAAGAACTTTGAAATCCTAGAAGACATGTTCTAGAGCTTCAAATGGAACTGGGTTCTGGATTGTATCTGAAGTAATTGAGTCTAGAGTATGTTGTAGACTGTTAAGTAATTGTGTACTATGTGTTCTAAATGAACTTCCCCAAAGACACTTTTATTGTTCTAATGGTGTAGAATGATGATAGCATACAGACATGCCATTCTGTTTTCCTATCTGTACTTAGCACTATATTGTGTTCCACATCAATACATCAGAAAGAAGGCTTTGCACTTTTCCTACACCCCCAAAGGATTCTGTGCCTCTGTTTAGGGGAGTTGTGTTATGAAGTCACCTATATAGAGTAAACTTCTCAGCTCTTCAGCTCCTACCTAGGGTGATATAATAAAACAAAGAAAAACAAACTTAAAGGATCCCCCTTTACATCTCTTTCTTGGCCTATTTTAAGCTAATATTGATTTTTACTCAGGCAGAATATAAGGTACCTTTAATAAACGTTACCACAAATAACCAATAATAAGCACACACTCACCGTGTACTAAACAGGAAGGATCACAGCAATCTACTCCCAATTAGAACCAGCTTTTCAAGCAAGTGAGATTTTTCTCTTAATTTAAAACAATTTTATGTTGCCATATTTAAAATGGACCTGGATAACTTTAGAAATAGATTTTTTTCCTGGGGTGGCAAGATGTAAATGGTGTAACTGACCATATCCTTCAACATAAAACTCTTAGGCATATCCTAGTGCTGTAAGACAAGAACAAAATGATCATGTGGTTTAGGTATCTGAAAATGAACTCTCTGGTAACCAGCTTCCTTTCCTTTGTGTGTCTCAAGCTTTCTTTTCCCATTCTATAAAGAGATGTACTCCTCAGCTTGCATTTACATCTTCTTATAGCATAGAATGAACAAAGAACCAATTAAATGAACAGGACAAAGCTCCTTGGGAACTGCTTCCACTCAGCAGATTCTATGGTTCTTTTCCACTAGGAGCAGAGGAGGTGGAGGTCTGTTTGAAGTAGCGCCATGGCAGGGGAGGAAGTGACTCAGTGGCCACACAACAGTAAAACTCCCCTAGAGAGAGGAATCATGTTTGAACTTGGCTGCCTAAAGGAGATCCCTGCGTGATTCAGGCTCAGAAAGGCAATGGAGATTTTACTGGCTGGCTAAAACACTCCATGGGGCTCCCCCAAAAGTACAGCTGGGGAATGGGCATAAGCAACTCTCTCTGAAACACATGTGGGAACTGGGGCCTCAAGATAAAGTGGACATTCCTTGGCATCAAGGATGTTAAAGTAGGTATACACTATTGATGCTGACCCTACTCTCTGATCTTGGCCACAGAACTTCCATGCTTCATTTCTGTACTACTACACTATCATGATATTTTAATAAGAATGTATTATAGCCGGATTCTTAGATCTTGTCCATATTTGTGTCGTTTGAGACAGATTCTCAGTGTTTAGTTCCTACTTTCTTCCAACTTGTTATCCTCCTGCCTTAGTCTCCTAGTGCTGGGATTGCAAGTGTTCTTTATCAGAGCTCAGTTTCTCATTTCTCTTAACATGATCACTTCTTTTTTTCACTCAATATCTGAGAAGGGTTTCCTCCTCATCCTCTTCAGTCTCTTCATGTTCCTCCCACTCCTTATTTTTATGTGCAATTATTTGTCAGAAATAAGAGCCCCTAAAATGAACAAATACATCTGGCAAAACAAAGCAATACATATAATCTCTTCCGGATTTGAAACAAAGGCCATCTCATTAGTAAACAGAGGGCAGCTGTAGAAAAGCATAAATGACTTACAGACACTGTGTTGATATGTGAAGAGCTGAGCACACTATGAGAGAGAATGGCCAAGTAGACATGTATGGTCTTTGTTTTGAAAGTGCTAGCTGTCTTGTCAAGGAAACAGACAAATCATTCTAAGTGGTTTTGTTCCATTTTATAGTGTTAGAAACACTATATCACATGTGATCTATCCTCTTTACCATGTATAGTAAATTGTTGTTGTCTTTAAGTGCAATGTTTCACAGTCAATCTCTAAAATTTGTTCATCTTGCTTCACTGAAACTTCATGAAACTTCATGCATAACTTCCTTCTACTTGCCTTGTAGCCATTGGGCACAGCATTCTACTCTTGATTTCTGTGGATTTCAGATAACTTACAACAATTGAATCAGGTAGTGCTGATCTTTGACTTGGCTTCATATTCACTGAGCATAGTGTCCACAAGTTACCCATGCTGTGTCTGTCAATCTTGTGCCAACTACAGATCATCTTTCTTTGTAAATCTTGAGTAATTCCCTTTATACCCAAGATTTTCATTATGTACTCCTACTTTCATGGGTATTTCAATTAGTGTTATCCAGAATCTTACTAATGGTGCAACAGTGTACCATCCGAGGTTTAATCCTCAGTTTCCTGGGAGGGGAATTCACACGAGGACTAAGTAGAAAGAAATACACTACACATATAGCTTACAACTATAGTTCCAACACTCTGGAGGCGGGGACAGGAAGACTGTGAATTTAAGGCCAATAGGAATTGCATAAGCTGTTTTTATCTCCAGAGAGAGAGACAAAAAAAGAATGAACAAATAAACAGATGGATATAAACAAAGTGAACTTGAGAATTCTGGCAACTCTTTGGAATCTTGATTTTAACTATTTTTAAAAATAAATACCAAGGAGATAGATTGCTGATCAGATGGTAAGAATTCCATATGTGATCTCCCTTGTGCCTTCCTAGAGCATGGATGAAAAGGAATTAAAGGACTCATTCAAAGAGGAGAGGACAGCTGGGTCAGAAGCAAAGTCCAAAAACATGTGGCAGGTGATGGATGGGAAAACAGAATAAAAATCTATCAATGGCAGAGATTCAAAACCAGAGGGCTCAAAACACCAGGTGAGTTAAGAACTCAGTACCTTGGGTGAAGCTCAGTGATCTAGTTTGCCTGGAGCCAAACTTGCAGGTGGGGCAGAGAATAAGACTGGGAGGGAAGTAGGGCCTGTTCCTTTATAACCCCTGACTCATGCAGAGAATTTTTGGCAAAGAACATCACAGAAACAGGTGGATAAAAAGTTACTGGCTCTTTTAACAAAGTTATGAAAGCAATCCAGCCTTAGTTCCAAGCCATGTCTTGAACTTGAGATAACTTCATAAATCTAGTGTTTTTATTTTTAGCATCATCCATGAAAAACTAGTAGTGAAAGAAGGCAAGAATCAAGTCATATCAGATAGATCACTGAAACTACAAACCTTGTCTTTGTTTTGGGTCTTCATTAATCATGCTTAACATATGAATAGATATTTTTATTTTGTAAAACTCAAAATGTAAAGTTTTGATGAAGGACCCAGCATCAGGCATATCTCTATGAGCTCAAGACTAGCCTGGTCTACATAGTGAGTCTCAGGACAGCCAGGGCTATATATTAAGATACTTGTAACATGAAAAATAAAAACCCAAAGACAGATTTTGGGGTTCAAGTTTCAAGCGGAAGATCTGAAAGGCAAAGAAGCCAACCTCTAGCTCTTACTTCTACCTCAGACTGAAAGGGGTTGGTCCTGTCTCCAAGAGCTCTCCTCCAAACCTCAGAGTGCTGCCTCTCCTCAAAGTGGCTAGGGACTAAATCTCAGAATGCAGCCTGAGACACTGGACTCCTGTCTTTTGTATACCTCTCTAGGGGGGAATGAAAGGCATGAGCTCTAATTCTCTTTTAGACTGATTCAATCTGTGTAGGTCAGGGTGGCCTTGAACTCAGAGCGATCCATCTGCCTCTGTCTCACAAATCCTGGGATTAAAGATGTGTGCCACCACCTCCCAGCTCCTATGACTAACTAGTGTGGTTGGCTTTGCATTCTAATACTTCTGGCAAGCTTTATTAAATCATAATAATATATCTCCACAGACACTGGCTATTACAAACAAAGAAACAAACAGAAAAAGTGCACATGATAGCGTCTTACATTCCTTGAACAGGAAAGTTGTTTACTATTTTTGGAAAATTAAAATGGATGAAATTTCTCATGTTAAGATTTTGCTACAAGAATTAAGTTATGTCAATGTCTTCGCAATTCATCATTCTGTTCCCCATTACCTGGTGTGTTTAGCCTATATTTTGTTACTACCAGGAATGTAAAGTTGAATTCAAGTGATATATTGTAAGTTATTTCTCATCTTATGTATTTCTTCAACTCTATTATCTACTTCATTTTAACTCCCAAATACCCTGAAATTTTAAAAAGGCAAAAGTAACTACAATCAAGGGGCCGAGTCCTGCTTTGTACTGTGTCAGTTAGAGGCAATTAAGCAGTTCCTTTCTGGAGTAATAAATAAGGCCTCCCTCTTATCTTCTATTATTCCTTAGAAAGAATGGCATATAAGGTTTTTTCTTATTTTGTTAGTGTTTTTCTTTCTCATTTCTTGTTAATTTTTGCTTTGTTTCCTTCCCTACTTTATTCTTTCTTTTCTTCCCATTTTCTTTTCTCTCCCTTTCCCCCGTTTTGACAGTCTTCCTCTGTTCCTAAGTAATTGAGGCTGGCCTTGAACTCGTAACTGTCCTAGCTCCATCCTCAGTGCTGAAATCACAGGCTTTCACCATTATTCTGCTTGCTTGGTTCTCATTGCTTAGGCATTTTCAATCTAATGAACAGAATCTCAAAATGACTTTGACTCTCTGAATCATAGATTCTTAAATATATGATATTTAAGATTTTATATATATATATATATATATATATATTCACATACACACATGAAATGAAAGTGCTCCATAAAGAAACAAAAGGGCTTGTTTATTATTGTTGAGACTGTAGTTAGCCTGTCTCTTAGGGATGAAAAGAACATGGCAGGGAAGGAGGAAGTAGGAACAGCAGCACATGGTTATGGCAGCAGAATACACTGCTAACTTAATTCAGCCCTTTATCAATTGTAGGATACATGATAGATAAGGCTGTACAATGAAGCATCTGTAACCACAAGTAATTTTGTATGCACCTGTATCCCTGTATCGTCTGCCATGTAGTAGGGACCACTAGGAGATGTCTATGCATTAAAACATACCTAAGACTACCCTAGAAACACTCTATAAGAATAGTACGAACACCTAGGGTCAGTTTTAGCCTTGATTTGTCATGTGTTTCCCACATGTGAAAAAGTTCAGTCATTTGAATTCATAAAGTAGAAAACAAGCAAAGATGTTCTTGCTCATTGGATTGCTATGGAGTGCTGGTCGTGGTTTAAGACAAAACACAAAACAGCAGACATGGATGAAATTGCATGAGGGGCTTTTGAGAGATGAGAGACTGCCACCATAGTAAATAGCCTATTTTTGCACATCACTTTTAAACAACGAAGTCAGCCTTTTATAGATACCCTATTTATTCTCAACTAATTAATGACTGATCCTTTCCCCTTCTCCACTAGTTCTTTTAGTATTTGTGCTGACTTTAGTAGAAATTTTACTCATACCAGTAGGTACTAGTACATTGCCCTAGGCCAGGTTAATAAACCTCTTCATTCACCCTGTGCACATTGAAAACATTTACATAAAAAATTACTAAGCTTAAGCTGCAAACCAAATCTTTGTCATAAAACAATTCATCTTCAACTAATTCTTTCTAAGATGCTGGTTGCCTAGTGAATAGCTTAAAGAATCTTTCATATGAGCTTAAGCATTGATAACATTTGGGAAAGCATGCATTTTGCCTTCTATGAAGATTCCTTTTCTTTCGATACATTATGTTTCCCTATATACATTGTTTCCCATTTCAAAATAAGCTAAAGATTATCATGAGTAATTTTTAAATTGCAAGGGGGACAGTTAGTGATGGTCAATGGATGCTGGTTATCCATGATCTAATCAAGTTATCAGATCAGAGAGCTTTGTCCAAGAACAAAGAGACATCAAAGGACAGTCTATTAAAGTGAGAAGAAATACTGAGCCCATGCATTTAAATGGATGACCTCTACAAAGAGAAAGAGGTGATTGTGGTTACACTTACACTTCTATGATCTATTTCTGTTGGATCATAGGACATAACAAGAGATGGAGTGTGACTACAAGAGGAATTGACTCGTTGAAGCCACTGGTCTGCATTAGATAAGGCTTGTCTATTAGATAGGGCTTCCCTATTGTCATTCATCACAGAAATCAGAGAAGCATGCATGAACACTGACTTCATGATGCTCTTTCACCATGAGAATTAGTACCACTGAGCAACTATTCACAAGAAAAGACATCCTTGCATGTTTTGAAGTTTTTTTTAGGTAATCACTAAGGAAGCTCATAAACACTCAACAAACAGCAATGTAGGCAGACAGCACTTGCCTTGCTATACTTGGAAGGCAGTCTAAAATGGAACTGATTGATCGGATGCTGCAAAGGGACCCTTCATGGAACCTGTTTTGTGGTTTCACATGAAAGCCTAAGTGGGGAGTCTGAGCTCACATGGAGCTGTGGAGTTACAAAAGCAATTGAAACCTGGCCTCATCACACCGATGCAAATCAGAGTCTGCCTTACCCTGATGGTTAAAGAGGATAGAGAGCTTTATAAAACACTGGATAAAACACTGTTAATTTGTACTTCTTATTTGCATGAAGAAGGGAAGTGACACAGTTGGCAGCAAAACTTATGTCAACTGCCCTGCTCTGTCATTCAGGAACCATACCCAACTTGCTTGCTGGCAGACCTGAAACAAATTTCCAGTATGATAAAATGATGATAATGGTGATAATAGTAATATAATAATAACAACACCAACAAATATTTGATTGTAGTATCTTGGGAACCCACAGAGACAACTAACTTGGACTCATAGGAGCTTACAGACACTGAACCAACAACTAACAAGCCCACATGGGATGGACCTAGGCCCTCTACATATGTGTGGCAGTTACATAGCTTGGTCTACCTGTGAGACTCCTAGCAGTTGATGTGGGGTGTGTCCCTGACACTTTGCTGGCTTTTGGGAAGCTATTTCTTGTACTGGGTTGTCTTACCAAGCCTTAATATGAGGGAAGGAGCTTAGTCCTAACTCAATTTGGTATACCATTGCTTGGTTGACACCCATAGGAGGCCTGCCCCTTTCTGAACAGGAACAGAGGAGGAGTGGACTAGGGGTTGAGGGTAGGGGAGGTAGGGGAGGAAATGGAAGGAGAGGAGGAAAGGAAAAATGCAGTATGTAAAATAAATGAATAAATTTTCTTAAAAAGTAAATAAATTTATCAGATATTCAAAATTAAAGTTTTGAAATCGAGCTGACTTTAAGCAGGTGAGAATATATACATTCACTTCTTTCTGCTCTTGACTATAGATGTGATGTGACTAGCTGTTTGAAGTTCCTGCCTTGAGTTCCCTACAATTATTGACTATAATCAAGAATTATAAGATGAAATGAACCCTTTGTCCGCTAAGGTGCCATTTTGCCAGGGCATTTCAGCACAGCAACAGAAATGACAAAATGACACTAAAATACTACATGATCGATTCGATTATTCTTTGACTCCAACTATAAACTTTTCCTGGTTGCCCCTGTAATACTTTACTACATTTATGTTTGATACTTCTAAGACTTTGCTTGCATTTAATGCAACTATACATCATTATTGTCTAGTCAAAGTCTTATATAGAAGGTGTTGTGTCAGTAAGGCTAAAGTTAACTTGTAAGCACCACTTGCCTAAGGACAGATGACTTCCTGGAATACTGGGGGCTATGTTTGACTGGGAGATAGCAAACCACAAGTTTTCACTCCCCTAAACAAATTTGTTTGACTCATCTACACCAGAGATGCTTGAACACATGTAGGTGGAGGTATGCAGGCAGGAAATACATCAGGATGCATGTTTACCCCCTACTGGATGTAGGTGGGAGGATTTCAGACAGGAAGTACATCAGGACATAT